GCACACCACCCTGAGGTCCGCACAATTTTATGGCATTTATCCTAATTTCTGCGGAATGTTCCATTTAGATGGTAACAGCTTTGTCAAGTGATTTTAAAGACAGAATTGTCTCAAAATAACAGCCTTTTTAGAAAATTTCTTAGTTCTCATCCCTTATGCCGGGCAGATACATACAAGGATTGTTTTTGCGAGATATCCGAATATCTCACGCCATGATTGAAATTTGTGTATGGATGTGCAATACACCTATGTTTTGGAGCTTCGTCTAACTGAAAGGGAGGTGTGGCAGCTGGACTTTTAACGAAAATGCTTTGTTATCTAATTCGTCGTCATTCATATGTTTGTCTTACATAGCTTTCTGTATATTTTTTCCTTTAATTGGATATTATTGGTTGTCTCTTGATTTGTCGGCCAAAGTAATTCGCTTGTATTGATGAAAAAACCAATTAAAGTAACTAACGGTCCAGACCCATCCTATAGAAATATGCCTAGTAATTTGGCTGTTTCGAAAATCGGATCATAATACCCATCCTTTAAAATGTTGGTTGTATAACGATTTGGGATATAAAGAAGTTAGAGAGCAGGTATTCGTATCCAACTTGTTCTAAGGCTATATCGTGTGATAAAGGAAACCTGACAACACCAGCTGAGTTTCGTTTCGGAGTACACTAGGTAGCGTATAGTATCTAAATCCTAGAGATTTTCAAACGTTTTTTCACCTATGGTTTTTTTGTATATCGCTTTCAGTGAGGCCGTTTTAAATGGCTGTTGATGCTTGGTGAAAGATGCCTAGCGCCATTTCTTTTTCTTATAGCTTTTCACTACACGTAAGTACTCACCATTAAGCTCTTAGTCAGTGTACGTTTAATCTGCCTGTACTGTTAAGCAAAGCTGAAGCGAACTAGGGTAGGTCTCTTCTGAGTGACTTCAGATAACGCCATGGAGGTGAGACTTCTACTATCATTTGGTTGCATTTTTCTATTTCTACACCAAACTAAATATTCCACTACTTTTCAAGGGTTTGAATATCACTCACCATGATAATTCTAGTTATCCCCTGTATTGACCTCACATTTTTATCTTCAGAAGTGGAAGCCGAAGTTTCCATCTTGTGTTGATTTCAATACGCACGCTCAAGCTAAAAACAGTCAGAATACTTTGGCAAACTTTTGTCATTTCATTGACACAGCAAGACACATGAGTAATAGTAAGCAAACTAAAACTATGTAATGGAACAGTTTCTTCATTCTTATTTATTTATTCATTTCAATCAAATTTGACACTTTATAGGTGCCAAGAGATGCTCTTTCTTACACTATTTAAAATTCACTTAGCTGACATTTAAAAAAATGTTGTTTCCTCTTCAAAGATAAAAGTTTGACAACAAACCCTTTAAACCTATGCTGTTTTCCTGCAACGTTTGATCTTTAAAAGTTACTGCGTTTCTGTGGAATTTTACTTGCATTTAATAATAGCGAATAATTAACATATGGGTAAAACTGAAATTCGGTAGCCTATTTTTCTGAACATATATATGCTACTAAAATGCCGTCTTCCTCAAGTTGTTCGTTTTAAACAAGTCGGTCACACTATTAAAGTAGGCACTGTGGTGTATTTTCAGGTTTTTATGATATAGTAGATACTCTAGTTTTATTAGATTACATTATTAAAGTAACATGCAGTATTTTAACCTGAATAGTATTTGATCAATTATAATACAATATGTTTAAGTTAGTGTTCTTATGTGCTCTTCTGTATATTTTGAATCACTTTTGGAGCGAATAATTGGTTGTAATAATGCTTGCTAAACTGATAATCTTTATTTTTAGGCATGAAGTGATTAGATATGGCCTTCTGCTATCACTTGTTAGCAGATACTTGCCAGATACATCGATTTTGAAAGACGATATTATATTCTTATACCTTTCATTTCCTACTGCTTTTATACACCTATAAACCTTCCTCTATTTCACTGCCAGTCTTAAATTCCCACTAACTCAAACCTCAAAATGATAGAGAGGTTTCGCGTGTACTTTGGCTACCAGGGAATCATCTCGTCGACTTAGAATATGCGGACGATGTAGTCCTTCTAGGCGAGGACGCTGACAAAATGCAGAGTCTACTGAACACCTTGAGCAACAATCTTCGTATGTTTGGCATGCGATTCGCCCCTGTAAAATGTAAGATAATGTTGCAGGATTGGACTACACCGACCCCTAGATTAGAAATAGGAAGTGAAGTGGTAGAGCACGTTGACCGCTTCACTTACTTGGGGAGTACCATCAGCCCCAACGGGTTGATCTCCGACGAAATTTCAGCACGAATACAGAGGGCTAGTTTCGCATATGCCAGTTTACGCCGTCTCTGGCGTAGACGTGATATCCGACTATCGACCAAAGGGCGTGTATACTGCTCAACAGTCCGCTCCGTCCTCCTTTATGGCTGTGAGACCTGGTCATTGAGAGCAGAAGACATGAAAAGATTAGCTGTCTTCGATCATAGGTGTCTGCGTTCTATCTCCCGTGTGAAGTGGTATAATAAGGTGAGCAATATTGAGGTTAGGCATCGAGTGCTAGGTAAGGCGGGGAAATCAATCGACGAAACTGTGAAATTACATCGACTGAGATGGTTAGGACATGTGTTACGCATGCATACCTAGTCATCGCCTTCCTCGACGGGCAATGTTAGCTGATATAGGGCCAGGCTGGAAAAGAGCTAGCGGCGGTCAAACGAAAACATGGCACCAGTCAATGAAATCCACAACAGTTAGTCTGAGCCACGTAGGAAGGTGTAGACTTCCTGGTTGGGGTCCTCGGGACGGTAAAAACCAATGGTTGGAAACGATTGGTGACATGGCTCAAAATCGTTCTCAGTGGCGCAGATGCATCCACTCCTTGTGACTTATGATTTCCAATTAAACTGTTTTGTTCTCCGTTATTACTATTCCTTTTGTCTTATATCCCTGTCTACTGTCGCTGTCATGCATTTCTTCTCTTGCTTTGTGTGCTACATGGAGTGTGGCGACTTGAACTGCCGCACATGTGTGCAAAGTTCTATGTCGAAAACCGACCGACCAAAATGATAGAAGTTCATTCGAGTTTGCAGATGCTGATAAGTGCCAACAAGCACAGAACATAAGTACAGACATTCCTGCCAACTGCCTCCGATCGCTTAACACGAGTTCAGAGTACACCGCAGTGGTCAGTTACTTATCTTGGCGAACATCTTGAAACGTGACTGATAGAATTCGTCAACATCAACACAAAGGAACAGATACATGACATGACCAGTCAATGTATAGATTTAAGAATTTAAAATTTGATGGTGGAAAAATGGTTGATTTTGACCCTATTAGCTTATCTATATAAATATGAATAAGATATCAGGAACGAACTCGTTTCTGACCAAGAACTTAAAATCAGAGTGCCAATGAAAGACACCGTGTTATGAGTGCACCTATGTCTGACTTCTGCAGTATTTGGGTTTCAAAGAAAAATATGCAAACAGAGTTGTCGTGGAGTTACCGATATCTGTAATTGTGGCATATATATATGCTCGCCAACCATGCATGTGGTTCGGAGTTTGGTCCCCGGCCGACGCAGTCCTTTACCTCGTTAAGCCAGTAATAAGACTGGTAAAGAGGGAAGGTTGAGCATGAGGCTAGCAACCCCAATCCCGTAAAAATAAAACACCACTGCTGCCGAAACTTCAAGCCTCTAGCTTGAAGCCCTATATTTCACTAGTAACGTAAAGGAATAAAAAATATGTGCATATGTTTATGGGTAGTTGCTAAATGTCAGTGACTGAAATGTTCAACTCCATCCCCAAAGTAGAGTAGGGTTATGTAGGTGACCCATTCAAAGTATTAGTAGCACAAGACATAGATAGGTGTTTTGAAGACATGAATTCAATGGTAGATGCTATTCAGTGTACGTATGAGTTGGAAAGTCACGAAGGGGAACTTTCGTTTTTGGCTTACGTCATTAAACGTTAAAAAAGATGGCAAAATAACTACCAACTCTAACAGAATACTCGCAAATGCAAACTGATACTTGGATTTCGCATCATCCAAAGGCATATTAGTAAAAATAGGATGAGTGAAATACTTAAGTGATATGGGGAAAAAAGCTAAATAGTACAAAGGAAAATCTACGACAGAAAGTAAAATGCATAACAGAAGCATTAGAGATTGATAGTTACCTTCACAAATTAATTTATTAAAAATGCCCATTAAAATTTTCAAAAGAATAGACACTGAACAAAGAGAACTCTTTTCGATAAATTCATCATCAGGTTCTACAATTATATATACATCATAATGAATGAATGAATTAGTGTTATGAACAACATTAATCTTGTTTAAATAACATCAAATCAATAATATTGATAAATTACAGCTGAACAGCATCAACATCAATTAAACTGAATGTCAGAAGAATTAGGAAAGGTAATGGTACAAATTCATGAGTTTATAGTCTCTACTGAGGGCCAGGGCAGTAGTAGGGGCTGGACTTGCAAATGTAAAGTAGTAGACCTCAGAAAGACAGGAAATCTAGGGAAAAGATCAGCTATGGCAGTACGGGATAATTGGAGCTTTATATATCGAATCACCAGGGGGTATGTGCAGTAAGGATGATTCAACACCTGTCCTGGACCTCTGGAAAATTCTACTCCCCTTCCGGCAAATAAGGAAAAACAAAAACTATAAAAACTCCGGTTTCAAATTTTGTAGTTACAATTGATATAATTATGAATGATAAATTGTGTGCGTAATGAAATCCAGCAAAAAATACTGTACAGTTGTGTGATATTTCCAATAAACTGGATAATATGGAATTAAAGATGAGTAGGTTTCGTAACTTAAGGCCTTAAGTTGCTGAAAATTATTGGTCAGAAGCGGTAGGTGAAACGGGTTGTACTGGTTGGTGTGCATCTATTCACAATCGTTCTCCAAACTGTTAACACGATGTCCCATATCAGTTATTTTTGGTTACTGTTCATACTTAATTTCTTATAGTGAGGCTATCTAGGATAGTCTTGGGTTAGCAGACTGCTATTAATTTGATAGCTGATAACTAAAGCTCGGATGAAAACTTTGGTCGTAGGAGAATTCGCACCAGCAGCTCCCGGATTTTCAGGCGAGTGCTGCATCATTTGAGCTACTGAATCCATCTACTGATCATGTCATCTTTTGCATCTTGCTAGTACTCTTGACTATGGTATTCTAAGGTGTAGGACGGCAAACCAATACGGACCCCTCAGTGTTCGTACGATGTGCTTCTTACAAGGGCGCATTTAGATCCATTTTGTTTTTATCAATCTTATTTTCATTCAGTTACTCTATAGAAACTAAAGAGAATGGAAAAGTAAATGTTTTAAAGTAATGTGCACTTGTCGTCTTATCTTTAACTTCAAGACTGCCATAACATAAGACCGTCTATTATCTGGAATCCGACGAATGGCCTTAGCTTCAGCAAAAAGTTTATCTGTGATAAACGTTCAAAAGAACTTGCAGCTTAGTACAAAAACATGTATTGGGAGGTTATATATAAGACTAAATGTTGCACAGGCATTTTCATCCACTGACAAATCAAATGATATTGGAGAATCAAAGAACGATAGCAGCTTGCCAAACCAAAAACTGTCTCCTGAATTTCAGAAAGCTATTGCTCATGGTCCCAGTCTTTCCGAATTTATCAAACTGGGCAAAAGCAATCAGGCAGTTGATCAAGGTGTTCATGAATCTCAAAGTAAAGTGTCTAAAACTGGTGAACGGTAATTTTACAATATCTTTGATTATCATTTTTCTTCAGGAGATATTTATTCTTATTCATACTTGGCTAAGAATGTAGTAATTTCGCCTAACTAAACACACGCTGCTTGTTTGAGTTCAGTTCCCGGAATAGGTCTTCCATGTATTAAGCTATGAACCACATTTATTTTGCGAGGGTTGATGACGCGGTATTAGAACTCGATATCTACTAACTGGAAGTCGATTACTTTTGCCAGTGAGTCACATTTCCATATACACACGCACTATTTGTATATAATAGGAAAACTGCAAAGTTCACATTCTTGACGTTTTACTCTGCACTACGCACTTACTTACTTGAACAGTGATTTAACCTATCACTACATATAGTGCATAGATCTTGCGTGGATCTTGTAATGCAAGATGTTTTTTCGAAAGATGATTTCATTCATGGTGGTTAACTTTTCCATTTTTTGACTGATTATCACACTGAAAACAATCATTATTATTGTTATCTATCTTGTTGGGGATTTTCTATAACTCATTATTACTTACTTAACTTATAAGACATCAAATGTATTGTGAGAACACAACATGCTTCAAAATTTACTTTTAGCAAAGAACTGAACAGAATATAACTCTAGTTATATTTGGTTCGTTTTGACTGACAGTCTCATTCTCAACCATTTTAGGGAACGCTGATTTGATATTTTAAACTTCTAACGCATTTAGCTTCAAGTAGGACTTTGTTAACATAGTTGGTGAAGGTCAGCTTCCACATCACATTTTCTTTTATGACATAGATAGAACTAGTTTCAGGGGATTAGCAAAGTGTACTTATGTATGCTAAGATCTGTTAGTCTTATTTGCGTCATAGTAAAGGAGAAAGGAATTCACATTAGTATCCCTGGTGTAAGCTGTCCTATTTGATGCATACTTCAATACTTGATCGTTTCCAGACATCTATTATTATTTATTATTGTTCCCTTGGGTTCCTAGTGGGACATAGGGCTTCAACTGCACGCCTCCACTTGCTTCTGTCTTCGGCTGTACTTTTCACTTGCATCCATGTTAATCCATACTGTTTCAGTTCCTCTTCACACGATCTCCTCCATGTCACCCTTGGACGTCCCACTCGACGCTTCCCTTTCGGTTTCCACTCGAGGGCCTGACGCGCAATGTCACCCAACGGCCTCCTCAGCGAGTGTCCAATCCATCTCCACTTTCTCCTGCATATTTGTTGAGCGATTGGTTCCTGTTTTGTTTGTTCCCATAGCTTCTTGTTGGTGATTCTTTTTGGCCATCTGATCTTCAGTATAGAGCGAAGACAGTTGTTGATAAAGGTCTGCAACAGGCTGTTGAAAATATTCTTTGTGACTCGCCAAGTTTCTGATCCGTAAAGCAAAACTGACTTGACGTTTGTATTGAAAATCGGAATTTTGTTGTTGATGTTGAGTGACGAAGATTTCCAGATTGGTTTCAGGTTGATGAATGTGTTTCTCGTCTTCCCGATTCTTGATTTGACATCCTCGTCCGTTCCTAATGTAGTTGAGACAATGCTCCCTAGATAAGTGGATGAAGTAACCTCTTTCAAATCCCTCCCGTTGATGGTGATTGACGCTGGATGTTGCTGTTGTTGTTGTTGGTTAGTTGGTTGGTTATTTTCATAACCTCCGTCTTGTCTATGTTCACCTGGAGTCCTGTCTTTGCTGCTTCTTCGACCAGTTTGTCGGTTTTCGCTTGTAAGTCTTCGATTTTGTGTGACATCAAACATAAATCATCCACGCGCGAAATCCAGGTCTTCTAGGTTCTTCACGTCGGTCCAGGATATCCCTGTCTTCTCGTTTCCCACTGTCTGACACATAATCCAGTCCACCACAATTAGGAATATCATTGGTGATAATAAGCACCCTTGTCTGACTCCTGTGTTTACTCCGAACCCCTCGCTGAGTTTTCCGTTGTGGATCACTTGACATGTGCCGTTGTCGTACAGCTGTTGAATAAGGTTTCCAGACATCTAGCTGAAATTATAATTAATAATTAATTTGTAACTTAATTTATGTTCATATTTTTAATTTAAACATACATGAATTGATCACATTTGTTCTATACATTTCCAGTCTTCGTCTTCCAAAATGGCTTAAGACTGAAATTCCATGTGGTGGTAATGTTGCACGCTTAGAGAAACAGTTACGTTCATTAAATTTACATACAGTAAGTTATTGTGTATTTCACCTTTTAGTCAGCATAGCTAGATGGAAAATATCATGACTTGAAGCGTAACATATTTCTTATTTTATATTTAATTTGTATAATATTTAATCCTGTTAGTTACTTTAAGTCGTACCATGATGATGATGATTAAGTTTTCTCAGGATTAAAACATAACTGATGGGTAAATTATCTACATCGTTGAATTAACGTTAAATGTATATAGTTGTTTGTGTTAGAATAACTCCGAATCAATGATCATTGATCCTCATATTGCATATTATCTCATAATAGTAGTTTCCTTTTCAAATTATAACTCACTTCGATAAAACTAAACAAACGAGCGAATTTATCATCTCGTTTATGGAGAATAATCCACACATCTTATAAATACACTATCAGAATCTAAGAGGTCATTAAAGGCAAATAAGTATTTGCACATCTGTGAGATTCAATATGCATATACATCTGTGGACTCAATAATCTTATGTTCTCGTAGTAGCAATGTCCACAAACACATCAAACAACTCCAGTCAACACTATAACAAATTAATAACGGGATAAAAATATCCGCATATAATGATTTGAAACCAAATGTAAGATTCAGTTGGTAAATAAATCCATAGAAAAGAAGCGAATCATTAAAAAAGAGTGGGCAAAAAGTCATTTCGGTTCAAATTGACAGACTGCTGTTACTTTTGTGCAAAGCAACCCTCTACTACCGTATTATGTGTATTGAGGATGAGTCCATCAAAGTAAGTTTTAGACATTCTTACAATTCTAGATCATAAATCTGTACATATTCAGAGGTCCTTCTTGCAATCACTACCATTATAAGTAAGCAAATTGACGTAATTGTGAAGCGGTCTTACATTCCGGAACCAACATTTTTCCCCTTAGATTTAAAATATTTTTGTTAACGAACTCTGTCGGCTATCTAATGTCTTACAGGGGTTTTCTAATTCATTTGACGTCGTTTCTTCGGAACATGATGTGGTTGCCGTTGACAATATCTTAAGATATTTTTCATAGGAAATAAGACTAAAGCTATTAAATATCAGCTTTCAACCTGTCTTAGTAAAATTAGGATAACTCTAAGTAGTGGTGAGTCATTTCAATTTGTACGAAAATCCACTTCATTCAACATTCTACGTACATACGTGGATTTGGCGTTTGATTGTGCTGAATTCAAATTCCTGTGTAGTTCGATTAAATGATTTCCGTTCTCGCATGTATATATATATATATAAATCCATAAATCACTAATTTTTTTGTATAGGTTTGTGAAGAAGCTCGATGTCCTAACCTTAGTGAATGCTGGAGTGGTGGAAGTTCTGCAGCATCCACAGCTACCATTATGGTAAGTGTCTTTAACAATGAGAAGATGTATTGCCAAGAAAATGTGCACTTGTGCACGTATTTATTAGTTGAATGCAAGCAAAAGGTCCATTAAACGAACATTTTTTGAATAATAATAATAATAATTTGCTTTATTCCAAAACAGTACTTGTGATACAGTATAGAATTCTCAGCATTTTCACTATAGTATTGCATACAGTTAGTACATTATCAATGAATAAAATTCTACATAGATCAAATAAATCTCAGTTCATCATGACAACAGCATATTGGCATGTCGGTAGCAAAGCCAAAGTTGAACAGTGTTTGAAGGTGTTAGAAAAGTGGGAGCTGTCTTATTAACTGGCGTAAGCGGAAGAAAGAAACAAAGCAGCACGTAATAGAAAAAAGGAGAAAGAGAAGGGGAAAAGAAAGAAAGAAAACGTTGTACCTATAAATGATATGAGTTGGAAAGACGAGATCCAGTTGTTCTACTGACTATTTAACAAGTTATAGGTTTCACGCCTAATGCTTTCTTTATCACACAGAACACGAGCTAAGTAGTGTATGGTTGAGTTTTTGTACTTGCTAGTGCGTGCATATAGTTTTCTATATAGGCTTCTGGTTTTGCCTGATGAGATGCAAGGGGAGAGTTGTGAATGAAGAGGGTGGTGTGAGCTAGATAAAATGGGTTTGGCCCATTTTTCACATGAGTTCATGTGCCTGTCAACCAGAATATTAACAAGCTGGTTAAGTGGCACGTTGCTTACCCTGCTGACAACCATTAACATCCTGCGTAATAAGGTATAATCTTTCTTCAGTAGCCCGGGAAAAACTAAGGGAGAACAATAGAGAATAATAGGCAGAATGCGAGAGTTAACGAATTGTAGGAGTAAGGGTTGGGTTATACCAGAATGTCTTAACTTCTTGATGTAGAAGGTAAGATGGAATATTTTCTTAGAAATCGCCAAGATATGAGACGACCAGGAAAGATCAGCAGATAGAATGACGCCTAGGTATTTAATTTCCGATTTAGTTTCTATTTCAGTGCCGTCTATGTTGCATACCTCGTAAGGGCCAAACAGTTTGTTTAGGTCGGATTTATGCCTAAAGGTGAAATCGACTGTTTGGCATTTGGAGGGGTTTGAGGTAAGACCATTTTCCTTGGACCACTGGCTGATCTCTGACAGAAAGCCATTAAGTTAAGAGCAGTCACTTTGACATTTGACAGGCAAAGATACAGTCAGGTCGTCAGCATATTTGACAAAATTAATGTCATTTGAAGATGGTAAGTCATGTAGAAAGAAAGAAAAGAGAAGTGAGGAGAGTACAGCACCTTGGGGGACACCAGCTTCAGTGAGCGCAGCAGAGGAGGATTTACCTTTGTATACGGTGTACTGCATTCTGTTTGAGAAGTAGGAATGCAACCAGTTAGTGACCCAGGACTCAGTTTGTGTCATAGAGAGCTTATTTAGCAAGATACATCTAAGTACAGAGTCGAAAGCAGAAGTGAAGTCGAGAAACGTGCAGCGGACGTATTTGGCACCTTTATCTAATGATGAGACGATACTGTTGTTTTTATTTTTTATTTATTTTCTACTTGGATTACGTTAACGTGGGTGTTTCTGTTGTTATTTAAATGTACTTCTACCTTAATGTTTTACGTCAACAGTATGTCTTCATTTAGACTGTGTGAAGATGTAGCACATTGATTTCAGCGCTTAAACACCAATCAGTAAATTGAAAATAACTCTAACTGCTTCATCCTATGTGACTGAGCGGTATCATATGACGTTGTTAAACAACTATGACTCATAGCTTTGTACATTGAATGTCTGTTTCTAGTTATTACGTTTTAACACCGTTTAGCCTTTATGTACCAATAACTTATAGTAAAACAGCAAACTGTTTCCTGAGAGATTTCATATGTGAATTCTTCATATTCAAATTGAACATAGGAATAATAACACATGCAGTAGAGTAAAACGGATCCATTCTATTTCATCGGTATCTTGTCTTGTGAGGTATAGTGAATTATAATTATGTAATGCAATTGGGGTTTCTCGGAAAAGAAAGATATGCGTAGCGAAAAACATTGTAGTGCATAAATTATAAGATTACGAAAATCACTTTAAAATTGTTAAACAGAAAATAAAATATACAAAAATAGTGTTTATATGTTTGTCTAAGGAAACCACTATTTCAGAGATAAATTTAAAATAAGCAGGGGTATATAATGTTAACCTGTATGTCGGTCGTTAAGCGGTAGAATGTTCGCCAACCAGGTATGTGGTCCGGGGCTATACCCTCGGCAGACGGACTCCAAAACCCCACTAATCCGGTAGTAAACCCGGTAAAGAGGGAGAGCTGGGCTTGAGGCTAGCAACTCCACTCCGTAAAAATACAAACAATTGCTACCGAAACTTCAAATCTCTAGCTTGAAGCCCTATATTGTGCCAGAAAAGTAAAGGAATAGAAAAAATGGTGTTAAACTGGGTGTATTTAACACTAAGATATATAAATATGCTTTATCTAAACAAAAAATAATGCAAGCTCACATGTAGATACACATTTGATGAAGCAATTTGTGAAATAATTAAAGTATTACTTGGATATCTAACAAGTGACCATTTTAAAGTTAGCAAAACCTTAAAGCTTAAAAGTTTTGTTGAGAATATTTACTTCAGAATAAACAATGTACTGTCTGAGTAATTGAAAAGGTTTGAAAAATTAAACTATATCACAGTCTAAAATATTTCCATTTTATGGTTTAAAATTCAGTCCAAACGAAGCACTTTTTCGGTATATTCCATTTGCGCCCTTAAAATTGTAAAATAATTATAATCATAGCTAACCATGTTTGAAGCGGAATATGAATGGGGATTTAAAGTTTGACAATTTTAAGTCTGTGAGGTAATAGGATGACTTTTGGTGGTGAGTTGAATCCAGTTACAAAAATAGGGATAAATTGAATGGTGATGTTACAAGATTTCATCATGAGCTGACATCATTTAGAGAACTATTGGAAAACCACCAGGGAGTGTTGGACAGCCGTTTCGTCGTAGTGCCCCGGACTCTTCATCAGTACGCACCTAACGCTAGGGTTCGAACCCAGGACCTTCTGGTTACAAGGCGAGCTCGTAGACCATCAAGCCACTGGGACCCAACCCAATTCATGAACTCCGGCATGAATTGGCGTGAATTGGGATTCATGCAGCGGCCAGCTCATGATGAAATCCTGTAACCAACCAATCAAATCTGTACTAACCAATGCTTGAATATGAATGGTGATATGTTAGGAAATACTAAACTTAAATCTATCAGATTACGAAATCGGACTCTGAAAAGGAACCATACCCTGTTGAACAAGCAACACAGTGATCTAACACAACGAACAAATGTTTTACATATCCATAAGCATATCAGAAACCATTCCAGTGTAATACCTGATGAACTACAACTAGAGGTACTGTCTGTTTGGCAAAACTATATGAAATTCGTAACCGTATTAGTCAAACGAATACAGACGTGCTTTGAATAACCTTTATTTGTAAGTAGCTGACTAGGTAACCTCTTCTGATGAAAACCTGAGAAGATTTACTTGAATTTTGATAAACTTTTTCTATGAGTATAAACGTAATCATAAGTTTTGTCCTATAAGCGTACTCACTACAGTATTTCAGTAGGTTATCAGAAGACTTACGCTCAGTTAGGACATAGTCATTATAAAAACGGATTAGAGGGCTGAAACTGTAATTGTGAACAGACATGATTAGACTATTTCAACGAATTCTATGCTGGTGAATGAGACCTAGTCTCAGTAATCAGAATCAATGAAAACCTAAGAAAGATATCATTATCTAGCTGAAGAAACTAAACGAAAGAGAGTAACATTAAGTCTGAATGTTGTATGCAATACCATACCATACATGTGCAGATTACTGAAAATTTACTAAAAGTACCACTTCTTTCTATCCTAAATGTATCACATTCACCCCACCAGGTGATGCCAAAGTGGTTAGTGCAATTTCTTCAACTTTTGAATGATTGTCTAGTGAAATATAGTAACAAGAATACCTTCCTGCTTTTTAATAGAAATTAAAAATCTCGTTGAATCTGGAAAAAGTATGGTATTAGTTTGTGTTACATCTTTTTTTGTTTCATGTTCCTCTAATTAAAAAAGTGGAGTGTATCTGCGAACGGTTATTACGGAGAGAGTTACATTCTGGGATTCCTCAGGGAACTGTCTCTTGAATGCATAATGAATTGTATAATCATTTTGATCGGGTAGCAGAGAAATCTGTAACAATATCTTTGTCTGTAGGTAAGTATATTTCTAGAACAGTTCAAGGAAACAGCAGAAGTGGAATCATTCTGTTGTTGCATATTTAGCACATTTACAGACTACGATGAATGCATCATGTAATGTCTCAATTTATAGAAAATTTAATGTTGCTCATTCTGCAGAAGTAAATAAAGAAACTATGCATTTTCTCTCAGTCTAATTAATGCGACGAAAAGATAGCATTATTAGAAGATGGAGATTATCTGAAAAATGTGATGTATTTGCGCTATACATTTCGAACAATCTGATCACACATTTACTTGTCAAGTCGATGTATATATGAAAAAGTTAAATTAAACAAAGTGACAAAAAAAGAATTAAGAATAATTAACACAAACGTTTGGTAATCCAATCAAATAAGGATTACCAAGGTAGGTTAAGGGTAATAACAAACTGTTTTTGAATACACAAGGGGGGCTTAAGTTTATGAATGGCTATAGCCTCAGCGTATTTCAGTAAACGTCCTTGACCGTTTTTATAGATGACCTTAATGGCTGAGTTAACATCAACTTTATGGTTCATCTCGATTAGATGTTTAGCTATAGACGAAGTTGGTAGTCTGACACCTGCATCTATTGGCTTGTCACAATTCATCTGTTTTTCTAACCATTTTGGGATATGCTCTCACGTGCAACGCGCGATTACTCCTCCCTATGTATGTGTGTCCACACACACGAAAATTGGTAAATTGTGTGGGATGTGATATAATCACTTGTGCACTTTTGAGGTTTGTAGTGAAGCATATTTTTAGCTTTTTCCACAATTACAAGCTGGGCTGCATAGTAGGTTCTACGGATGATCGAATTCAACCTTTGTCTCAAAATCCTACTGTTTATTTCCCCGTTATATGGTAATTTGATGAAAACCTTTTTCTTAGGGACGGTATGGATTGTAGGTTTAGAGGCTAGTTGACTTCTACACCTGTTTAAAAATTTCAAAGGATATCCGTTTTCAACAAGAGTATCCATCAATATTTCGTTTTCTTTGTCTATAACATCAGCCGTGCAAATACGCTGAATCCTCTTAAATGGACACTTCACCAAGCCTCTCTTATACTGTAATGGACAGAAGCTGTGAAAGTTAAGGTATTGCCCTGTCCAAGTGGGCTTTCTGTAGATAGACCATCTTATTGAGCCATCGTCTCTTCGACTTTCTTCCTCGCATGTAAGACTAATGTGTTTCTGTACAGAGTTAAGTCTGTCTAATAGACGACTTGCATCTTCATGATCGTCGCATATCAAAATGATATTGTCTGCATATCTCTTATAGAAAGGCAATTTAGAAATTAAATCAAAGGATAAGTTTTCAACATAAAACATGTAAACGTCCACTAACGAAGATCCTAATGGACTCCCCATAGCAACACCATCCATTTGTCGAAAATGTTCACCTTCAAACGTGAAATGGACGTTGTCAGTACATAATAGTAATAAATCTTTCAAATAAGTTAAAGGAAAAGGAAATGAAAAACAACTAGAAGATATATAGTCACAAAGAATATGAACAGTCTTAACCAATGGTACATTAGTAAACAAAGAATTAACATCAAATGAATACATTTTCCTATGGTTTATGTTCATGTCTACAAGACAGTCAACAAGTTCAAATGTATCTTTCAAAGTAAACTTACATAATTCACTGCGTACTGGACTTAAAATATCAGCTAACCACTTTGCTAATTTATGTGTAGGTGAGTTACACATTGAAAGAATTGGACGTAATGGATTATCAACCTTATGAATTTTGGGTGGTCCATAGAGGTTTGGAAAGTCAGATCGCATGGGTTTCAAGGAATTAAACTCCTGTTTATCGATAACGTCCATGCCACGAAGTTTTACTAAATGAGAAGTTACTTTTCTTTCCAATTTTCTGATATCATCCGAAGGAACATTGGCTATGAACTTGCTTTTGTCATTAAGGATGGATAACATTTTTGTTTTGTAATCGCTTCTTTCCATTACAACTGCACCAGATCCTTTGTCAGGTTTCAAAATAACTAATCGGATCTGTTACGTAATTCTTTAGGGCTTTAAAATAAGTTGATGTTAAAACGCTTCTTTGTTTCCGACTTGAATTACGGAATTGGTGTGCTACATCTACAAATTTAACTTTCAACCAGCTTTGGTCATCTATCGAGGAAGGAGTTAGAGAACTCAACTGATCATACACTAACGACGTATTATCCTTTGCCACTAGTGTTATTATTACTCCAGATGCGTGACTTATAGGCTTCGTGATCTTGATTTCCAGCCACTCGGTCTCGAGTTCGAATACCGCCCCACCTACTTCAGTCTAGGCAACTGGATAGTATCATTAACCCTCACACAGTAATTGTGTATCTCGTGTCCTGGTACATAAGACGCCTGTTCCAGATAAGTGAATTCACACAAACATTTATTATTATTATTATTATTATGGTGCATGTGATTCAATCTCATCCATTCAACATATTGATTATTTCATGGTGAACTACTTACTCCAGCCATACTATCTTCTATTTAATGCATACCACCATTATTTTCACTCCTCATCAAACGTGTGCTAGTCACAGATTGTATGAATTTACTATAATCGATCATAAGAGAATAGAGAATTTTTGTAGTGGCACTTAACTCCCCGTGAATGACATAGAAATGCTAGTCGTCATATTACTTTAAAAACCTAGAGGTATCTGATTTTGAATCTTTATTCATATTCTACTTAAAATATGCTTGGCTGTGGTTATAATAATTACATATTTGATTTTTATAATTCTACGAGCCTGAAGTAAATTTACTGGAAAAGATTCTTCGCTTCAATCGACTTCCAATACAGACCTTAATGTTCTACAAAACTGATGTGTAGCACTGTGAAAACAAGCTACTCATCCGTAAGAATACCGGTCTAAGACTCGTGTTTGATTCGTAGCGAGGCCGTATTTATGTGTTATGAAATTTCACCATTCACAAGTTCAGTAATTGGTAATGTAGTAAGTACTACTTATAATCAGATATAAGTAGTATATCAGTAAACGAATTCAGAAAAGTAAAAATATGTTGTGGGCACTGGAAAAAGCAAGTGAAGAAGATTACTTTCAACACTGTGCAGAATGCAACAAGCTATCGAATGTGGTGATATTCGACCAACTTTCAAATGAAGTGCAAATAAAGACTTATACATCAGGTATACCAAATTTATGTACATACAATGCGTTTGTCCCAGTAAACAATGCGTTCACGCCTCATCGGTCTTTTCTTCTATACAGTAATGCGAATTTTTGGAATGAAACAAATAATCATTTAGGTGAAGAAATTCTGAATGTTTCAACATTGTCAATCCTCATTTTTAATGTACAACTGTTTTCTGTCCACATATGTGAACTGTGTTAGTTTGTCTTCTTTGCAAAGATTTGGTTAATCATTGAACAATGTATATCTTATTTAATAAGTTGTATTTCTATCGTAATAGTTGGATAATTGACCTTATCACTATTATAATTTACTTATAGATAATGGGTGATACATGTACTAGGGGTTGTCGATTTTGTTCAGTGAAAACCTCCCCGAATCCACCACCTCTTGATCCAAACGAACCAGTTAATACTGCTGAAGCTATAAGCAATTGGGATGTAGACTATATTGTAATCACTTCAGTGGATCGTGATGATTTGGTAGATGGAGGCGCCCGGCATATTGCTGAAACAAGTAATATTGTGTTATTATTGATCCTTATTTACCTTCTTATTGCAATGTGTTTTTATTAGTATTGTATTACATTGACATGTGTTTTTCATCGATGCATACCATCAACTGTTGACTCAGTTGTCTCATTACTGTATCTTACATAACATTGGAGTGACCTAATTATATATATATATATATATATATATATATACATGGTTAGATGTGACAAAGACAAACAGTTACAGTCTAATCAAGAGTGCATATATTAACTGTAGAGCGCTTGTATTATTCAGTTAGCCTTGAGACTGCTTATATTCCTTGAATGTAGTGGTTTCACGAAGGAAATCCTTCTGTCTTCAAAGTCGTCTACATAATACGAATTAATCTTCCTAAAGGTGTACGGATCAGACTTCTTCAAACTGCAGAAGCAATGGTGATTCACTTGCTAAGTCCTTAACTCTGCATACAGAAGAAGTTCGTTCAATCACTACACTTGCAATGGACGTAGTCTATCTTATTACCCGACAAGTAAATTCTACCTAATCTTTTTTTCTTGTCTCTTCATTAGTATTATTTGTCTTCTCAATTGTAATATTTTACATTTTCAACCTTCTTGTTCTCTACTCCAATCCTTCTATCTGTTATTAGCAGTACTTATGCGATTTGTTCATCTTATTACCAATATTTCAACTTCTTTATTGAGGAAGTATACAATTAAGCAGTCGCATTGTACTTCATGAACACTATTAGCTGCGTGAAATATTATTATTATTGTTTCCTTTAATTCCTAGAGGAACAAAGGGCTTCAGCCTTGCGTCTCCATTGCGTTCGGTTCTCTGTTATAGTCTTTACCTTGATCCAAGTGTGCCCACACGCTTTCAGCTCCTCTTCACATGACCTCCTCCAAGTCACCCTTGGACGACCAACTCGCCACTTCCCTTTCGGGTTCCACTCGAGGGCTTGTCTAGTGATGTCACTTGATGGTTTCCTCAGAGTATGTCCAATCCATCTCCATTTCTTCCTACTTATTTGTTTCAAAATCGGTTCCTTGTTGGCTCGCTCCCAGAGATCTCTGTTGCTGATCGTTTCTGGCCATCTGATCTTGAGTATTGAGCGAAGACAACTGTTAATGAAGGTCTGTAGTTTGTTTGAGATGCTCTTTATGATGTGCTTAAAATACAAGCTAAACTGAAGTGTAGATTTAAATCTAAAACCTGTTTTGTGAAATCCAAGTACTTGAATCAATTTACCGCACATGTACAGTTGTCATTATGAACTTAATACTCATGCAGTTTTCAAACATCAGTTTTCGATATTGATTCAGTCGTCAGTTTTATTGATTCACATTGGTTTGCTCATACTATTTGAAGTTTATGCGATTTTTAAGTAAACCCATCAAGATTGAATTAATTGTAAACATGAGTTTCCTTTTAATTGATTTTTTTCAGTTCGACAAATAAAAGCACGTAAACCATCGATTTTAGTCGAATGTTTAGTTCCAGACTTTCAAGGTTGTACAGATTCTATCACTACGGTAGTTCGCGCCAACCCAGAAGTATACGCGCATAATATTGAGACAGTGGAGTCATTACAGAGGTAAGTTAATTCAGACACTTCTCTTAAGTGTGTTTGTATAGTAAATGGAGCCTATTTTTGTTATGGATATTGGTTATTGTACAAATATTATGGGTTACCAGCAGTGAACACTGGACAACTTCCTAGGAGATTTTCTGGGCTCTGACTAGTAACTGAGCAGACTCCCCAGGATAAATGGGTACATGTATTGCAACAAGAAAGAAAAGTACACCGATTGGTCATTAGGGAGTATTCAAAGTTATTTTGTGTATGCCGTACTGATCATTGAATTCTATTCTGAAAAATTACATTCCCTTAGAAGTTGCAAATGCACCTCACAGACAAAGACCAGTAAGTCCAAAAATTAAACCTAGGGCTTCTTACTATGTGCCTCCAACTGTCTAACATTAAAATGGCAGTGGAAAAGACATTACATCATGAAATGAACACAGAAAACAAAAACATAACGCATATTAGTTCCATCAATGGAAACAGATTGGCTGTCTGGTTGTCTTACAGGTAGTCATTATGCATGCTTTCTTATTGGTTGGCTTCCGAACTAATCATCTGTCATATATACTTTCCGAAGTAATACGTATACATGTAACTCAGAACTTCTCTCATCTGCCACTGTGTATATATCCGATAAACAATATTTGTCTGTCTGTTTTCGACATAGAACTTTGCACATATGTGCGGCAGTTCAAGTCGCCACACTCCATGTAGCACACAAAGCAAGAGAAGGAAGTAGAAGAAATGCATAATATAGACAGTAAACAGAGGTGTGAGACAAAGGAATAGTAATAACGGTGAACAAAACAGTTTCATTGGAAATCATAAGTCACAAGGAGTGGATGCATCTGCACCAGCCATTGAGAACGATTTTGAGCCATGTCACCAATTGTTTCCAGCTGTCATTGGTTTTTACCGTCCCGAGGACCCCAACCAGGAAGTCTACACCTTCCTACGTGGTTTAGACTAACTGTTGTAGATTTCATTGACTGGTGATAAACAATATTTGGCGATTGCTGAAACGTGACCACTAAAAGCATAGCACAAATACAAATTTCGATAAAATTTGTCTTCCCAACACTACCTGCAAGATGATTAATGTTGAGATCAGAGAGAAGAGGCGGATCAGTCGATCAGTTTGAGAATGTTGTTTCTCTACATCTTTATTCATTTTATTCTGCACATAAATTACCAGCCTTTTTTCCATGCTATTACTCGGACTCTGGACTGACAACTTTGCGTAAGACACGTAATTTGAAGTATGTGAAGGTGAAAGTAGTTCTTCAAACGCATTGGGGATGTTCACCTTAAATTATCTTCAGATTAGGTCTGTAATGATGACCAGTAGTGTTCGTGTTCATGGAAGGGCTAGTTAAAGGAACTTTATTAAGTAGTCAAAAAAGTGTTTTATAAAATTTAAAGAAACGTGAATGAAATATGTGGATTGTTGTTTAAAATTAGTATAATATTGCACTAAAACTACAATTCGATTTTATTTTAGAACTTACCCTATTTTATTTTTAAAATTTCACGAAGTATGATTATATCAGTATGACTCTTCACCTTATAGAATTTTTCACTTATTAGAAAGTAATTCTTGTCAAAAGCCTGAATCAGCTAAAACAAAAACACTCGAAAATAAAAAAATATTTAAGTGGCTGCTTCACATCAGTTAGAAACTCTTCAGTAATGTGTGCCTGCAACATCGTGTTGGATTGAGTCTAGGACTGTCAGCTTACAAAATGAGCACGTCACTATTTAACCACTAAACTGGAATCCACTAATACTCGATCTTCCAACTTTTACCAGTTCGCAGCATTAATTAAACTAATAAAGTGTATTCAAAAATCTCTTATTTTTTTGTTTGTTTGAAGATATTAGGCAATAAGTTATGTACACGTTTATTTATATCTTTTAACTGTATGTTAATCAGTATAAAAATTGTACTTCTAAAAGTTACTTTGAATTTTAGCGTTGTACGTGATAGGCGTGCTGGTTACTCTCAGTCACTTCGAACTTTAGAAACTGCCAAGGAACGTAGTAATCGCCTTGTTTCATCTGGAGATGCAGATTCTCTTATCGTCACTAAATCTAGTATTATGTTAGGTCTTGGTGAAACTGAACATGAAGTGATGGTAGCTTTGAAGGATCTACGCCAAGCAGGAGTTGACTGTGTAACACTCGGACAATATGTGCAACCGACTAGGCGTCATCTAAAGGTAAAAAATTTTGTTTAAATTAATTTTTGGTAAATTAAATAGCCAATAAAATAGGCGGCAGCTGCAAAAAGTGATTTTACAACACTATTGATTCGCACAACTTCAAGGTCTCAGAACTTTTTCATCCGAACAATTATGAATTGGATTACCTAGTAAACTAATTAACTGTTATGATTCATTAATATCAAATAGGTGTACTTTAAGTGGTTAATTATTAGATGACCTAGTACTTTTACAACATTTCAATGAAGGGTTGTCTTTTGTTTTACCTTATTGGTAGATGGAGACTACCGAGTCATTTTACACACAAATCTTGGACTAATCCTTAGAATATTTCAAATAAGACCTATTTTTCGGTTTTACATAGTATAGCTTTGGCACTTGTTCTTAACTGAAACTGTGTAAATGATAACTTGTGAATAATATTTTATACTGAAGACCTTTAACGTACCATACAGAAAAAGTGAAACCACTGAATAATTGATTCGATGAGTGATTTCGAGGCTATTTATTTGTCAAAGAAATCACATTGGTATATTAAGTTAAAAATTTTCCAATTTATTGTCGGGAGGAAGCTTATACTTTTAATAACATTTTTCTTCAAAATCGATGGAAAAGGATAACTGGGCATTGCAGTATTTAGCTGATCGATCGATGAAGATTTTTATTAGAGTTTCTTTAACTAAAAATAACCAAGCGTTGGTGTTTTTATCGACTGACTGGTTTCACGATGGCTTTCACCAGTCCGTGTCATTCCGTCTATCCGATTCCGACGACGATTGTTTTTTTAAAATTTTTTTCTGTTCGTTAAAGTCTCTGTAGTGATTGGGTTGACTTCCTAGGGTACGGTGACTAGGTCAACGCCCAACCTTCCCTCTTTTTCCGCGGCCATGGACGGATAGCAAACTGGTTGGGGTTAGAGTAGACCTACAACAACCCACCCATCTGACGGGTTAGGACGATTTCCAAGCATGCACCTATTGAAGTAAAGTCGCGTTAGGACAGTATAAAACACATTTTGCAGAGCGCTCATAGGCCGTTACAGGCTGATAAACTGAGCATTGCTATCCTGCTCAGCGTATATTGTCAGAGTCTTTGTGACTAGTCATAAAACCTCAGATTTTTCTACAGCTTTTTAGGTATGCTGGTGTCTGATAGCGAATCTTTAATATACAAATTGCAGCTAAAATTTAGTGACTTTCTGAATACAAAATGTTATCACTGAGAGGTGATTTCGCTTATGTAGTCTTATTCAGTATTTCTTTGTGTCAATCGAGTACTAATTACTTAGGGATTTCCGTTTGTCTTCGGTTTCTCTGACCTTTTTCGTGTTTTGGATATTAGATTTCACCAAACTATGATATATAGGGGACACGTATGACCCAGTCCCTTCAGCCTCCAGCACTTACGTAAGACATCTACCTATCTGCGAAGCCCAATTTTATAATTAAAACTCTTCGTAATATTTTCCAGTTCAGTATATTAATCTTAAGAGCTGGATACCGGTACTGATTCTAACTACAGTACGATTTATTTCAACTGGGTTGTTCGTCCTGTTACTATTTTACTGTATATATACATTAAGAGATTTTCAGTAGTTACTTAATCCTTTTCATCAATTACTGTTTTTATTTTGAACACTCCTTAACAAATAAGACCACCGTGCTAAAATTCTTTTGGAAATATGGTGTTTATTAGTGAGCATCCCAAGAAATTACGTTAACTACTCTTGATTTATGAAGAGGTATAATTGTTGATCACTATAGTAGACAGTGTGTAGTTTTCACTTTTGTTGTTTTGTGCGTCGGTGGCACAGTGGTTAGGACTCTCGCCGACCATGCACATGGTCCGGGGTTCTATCCCTCGCCGACGCACACCTGATATCTATGGTCGGCCTGCAAAATTTGGGCTACCGATATCACATACTGAAAATTCCATACCTGTACCAAAAAATATGATGTGGAATCAAGCTGTAATAAAAAAATACCCTTTATATATATATATATATATATATGATTGTTCTAGGTGCTCGATTTACAACCACTGGGTCACTGGTTCGCACCTTGTTCTACTTATTGAAGTTTGAGCGACCAGGTAGTATCGTTAACATTCACGCAATAAATGTGGCGTGGAAATGCAAGTGGTTGTCGAGTAACTGACTCAACAACTTAGTGAATGGTTTAAATCCCGACCGAAAGCTGCTACCTTGACGTGGTGGTCGGGCTTGAACACTGCAATGACCCAACAAGCTATACTGGCTGGAACTTATGTTCCTGCAGGTCCTACCATGCCAGAAAGGTTGTTTGGATAGCAGTTAGACTAAAAGCAGTTACCCAATCCAATCCTATGATTTCAAATAAATCACAAAATATCATGCCGGATCGGTCGGGGCCCGGATTAACAACGACCGCACTTTCTGCTGCCGTGTCACAGGGCAGAAGTGATAAATACGCTACTGAGACACACCAAATAAAAAAGAACAAACAAAAACAGGCCGTGTGTGACCGGCCTCAAGCAGTTGTCCCCTGGGCTCTGCGGTCACGCAACCAACTTCCACGGTGTGGGCAGCCGGGAAGTAACAATCGCCCTCACAATCCGAAGTGCACGCGAAACCCCTCTAATCCTCGCTCATCTTTGTCTTCATCTTCATCTCCATTATCTTGCCTTCCTTCTACCAATGCAACTCCTCTACTTGATGGCTCTTCACTTCCCCTTCACTCTGTGTGCACTGATAACGATGGAAGCCAAAAAGCCACCACCGATTGTCTCCTAAAACCACGCCACCAATTTTATATAGGAGCATTTAATGTTAGGACACTTTGCCAAATAGGACAACAAGCATCACTAGCCAAGACTCTGGCATCCCGAGCCATTGATGTATGTTGTGTTTCAGAAACACGCATACAAGACCCAAGTGTGGTTATTCACCTAACCCCACCTGGCCAATAGGATGAATCTGCAAAATTCACCTTGAGGGTGTCAGGAGATGCGACGGCTAGCTCACGAGGATTAGCTGGTGTTGGGATAGCTTTAAGTACTAGAGCAGAAAAGACATTACTTGACTGGATCTCGGTAGATAGCCGAATGTGCGCTGTCCGCCTGAACGGATCAGTGAAAAGGAGAAAGGACTGCACTACTCGCCGATGCCTTTTCGTAATCTCCGCCTACGCCCCCACTGACTGCAGTTCGGATGAAACGAAGGATGAGTTCTACCAAAAGCTGTCTAGTTTGCTGCGAAAGGCTAGACGCTCAGATATAGTCGTTTTAGCTGGTGACTTTAATGCTCAAGTAGGGAAATTGTGTCAATCTGAGAAGAATGTTGGTGGCACATACGGAATTCCGTGCCAGCGAACCGACAACGGTGACCGTCTCCTACAGTTCTGTTCAGATAATCATTTGTATCTTGTAAGCACTAACTTCAAACACAAGGAGAGACACTGTTTGACCTGGCGACCCCCATCATCAAATCAACGCTGGACACAAATAGACCACATAGCAATAAGCTATCGTTGGCGTGGGTCGGTAGGAGATTGTCGCTCCTTCTGGAACACGTGTGTAGATACCGATCACGCACTGGTCCGCGCTCGTGTGTGCTTACGACTGAACGGACGTAGGAAACAGCTGGCGGTAAACCCATCACGTCCCCAGCACGACCAGGGAACTAAGTCCCTATTTGAGGAAGAACTAGCTAAACACATATCTGAGTTTGACAGCTGCGCTCACCCTGAAGAAGCCTGGAAGAATATTCAGTCAGCCATAGATACAGCTGTAAAAGCTGTGAATAAGGTAATTCCAAAGGTGAGTAAAAACCATTGGATTTCGACTGCCTCATCCGAACTGATAGATGCTAGAAGACTTATTCCGGCGAGCTCCGAATTCAATGAGGAGCGAAAGCTGCACAAGAAGAAACTTACGAAAAGTCTCCGCAAGGACCGTGAACAGTGGTGGTTGACAAAGGCGAAAGAGATGGAAAAAGCATCGGCGATAGGCAACACCAGACAACTATTCAGGCTTATCAGGGAAACAGGTGGTAAAAAACAAATGATAAGCGAAACAATCTCCGAGAAAAATGGCACCATAATTAGCTCCCAGGATAGACGTCTGGAGCGCTGGAAAGAACACTATGAGGAGCAGTTTAATTGGCCCACAGCCACACTTAACCCACCGGACATCCAACACCTCCCTGAATGGGAGATAGACACAGGTCCTCCGTCCTTAACCGAGGTTACTAAAGCTGTCACCAATCTGAAGCTAGGCAAAGCAGCGGGACCTGATTTATTGACTCCAGAGGTATTTAAGTACGGAGGCGACAGTTTACTGTCTGCGTTAACGGAGGTTCTAGGCTGCGTCTGGGAATCAGAGGAAGTCCCATCGGGTTGGTGTAAGTCACTGATCATCCCGATATACAAGAAGGGGGACAAGTCGTCTTGTGATAATCACAGAGGGATTAGCTTGACTAATATAGTATCTAAAATCCTAGGCTCAATAATACTGCGTAGATTCAGTGGTGCTCGGGAGACACAAACACGAAAAAACCAGGCAGGTTTTAGGCCATGTAGAGGGTGTATTGATCATATCTTCACCCTTCGACAGATTCTAGAACATAGGCATTCCTACCGGCGTCCGACAATCATTATATTTCTTGACCTAAAGGCGGCATTCGATTCTGTCGACCGGGAGGTTCTCTGGCGATGCTTGGCTGTAAAGGGAATGCCAAGAAAATACATTGCACTGATTAAGGCACTCTACTCATACTCATGCAGCCAGGTGAGCGCTTATGGCGAGTTGTCATCTGAAGTGGTGACGACTAGTGGCGTCCGTCAAGGATGCCCATTATCCCCATTCCTATTCAATTTCATCATAGATGTACTAATGGACTTAACCCTAACTCACTTCAGGGACTCAGGGATTGACTTGCTACCAGGGAAGAATCTCGTTGACTTAGAATATGCGGACGATATAGTCCTTCTAGGCGAGGACGCTGACAAAATGCAGAGTCTACTGAACACCTTGAGCAACAATTTTCGTATGTTTGGCATGCGATTCGCCCCTATAAAATGTAAGATGATGCTGCAGGATTGGAATACGCCGACTCCTAGATTAGAAATAGGAAGTGAAGTGGTAGAACACGTTGACCGCTTCACTTACTTGGGAAGTACCATCAGCCCCAACGGGTTGATCTCCGACGAAATTTCAGCACGAATTCAGAGGGCTAGGTTCGCATTCGCCAGTTTTCGCCGTCTCTGGCGTAGACGCGATATCCGACTATCGACCAAAGGGCGTGTGTACTGCTCAACAGTCCGCTCCGTCCTCCTTTATGGCTGTGAGACCTGGCCATTGAGAGCAGAAGACATGAAAAGATTAGCTGTCTTCGATCATAGGTGTCTGCGTTCTATCTCCCGCGTGAAGTGGTATAATAAGGTGAGCAATATTGAGGTTAGGCGTCGAGTGCTAGGTAAGGCGGGGAAATCAATCGACGAGACTGTGAAATTACTTCGACTGAGATGGTTAGGACATGTGCTACGTATGCCTAGTCATCGCCTTCCTCGACGGGCAATGTTAGCTGATATAGGGTCAGGCTGGAAAAGAGCTAGCGGCGGTCAAACCAAAACATGGCACCAATCAATGAAATCCACAACAGTTAATCTAAGCCACGTAGGAAGATGTAGACTTCCTGGTTGGGGCCCTCGGGATGGTAAAAACCAATGGTTGGAAACAATTGGCGACATGGCTCAAAATCGTTCTCAGTGGCGCAGATGCATCCACTCCTTGTGACTTATGATTTCCAATTAAACTTTTGTTCTCCGTTATTACTATTCCTTTGTCTCACACCACTGTTTACTGTCTATATTTTACATTTCTTCTACTTCCTTCTCTTGCTTTGCGTGCTACATGGATTGTGGCGACTTGAACTGCCGCACATATGTGCAAAGTTCTATGTCGAAAACCGACCGACCGACCGACCGACCGAATGGTTTAAATGAGACTAATTATGAATCAATATTTATTATTTCGTTCAAAAAATTAAATAATTCTTCTTATCATGTACTATTTTTAGGTGAAAGAATATATTCATCCGGATAAATTTGACTATTGGGCAAAAGTTGGCAATGAAATGGGATTTTTATACACAGCTAGTGGACCGTTAGTACGGTCATCCTATCGAGCTGGTGAATACTACATTAAAAATATTATAGACCAAAGAAAACGTAAAAGTTTGTAATAAACAGTGAACATAATGCCAATCAGTATTTGCAGTACTTTTCCTTATTCATCCAAAATCACTTTACTTTCGATCTAGATTTGTATAGAATATATATATATATATATATACCAATGATGTAGAGCTATCTTTTCTTATCTTATCACTTCATTCAACACTCCTTACTATTTTTTAGTCAATGTTGGTATGAATATGTAAGTAACCAAGATACAATTCGTCTTACAATACTTGACTTTTCAGTTGAAATAATTACAGCACATTTATGTTTTGCTGAGTTTCTGTTTTCTGTACTTCGAATGAAAAAATGTAAATTTAACGCAAAAATTTTAGCGAAGAAATTCTTATCGCTATAACTTCATTTTCATGGTCGCAAAATCATATTGACATATGGTTTAGAATAGATAAAAACATGTACGTGTATTACGATTTTTTGAATTAGTGGTAATACTCAAGTGCGATGATATAGAGTTTAGATGATTACGAATCACAAATCTTTTGAAAGAAGAATGGATAAGGAAAGGTCAATACAAGGCACACTAGACACGAGTAAATAAATGGTTATTTTAGATAGTTGGAGGCAATCGGCAGGAAGCCTTGCCTGACCTAGGTTTCGTGCTAGTTGGCACTCATCAGCAAGGTGTATCTGCAACCTTGAAAGAACTCATGTCCCTTCCGAGATTCGATCCCACGTCACCCAGTGCTGCAGTCAAAGACGCGACCACTGAGCTATTCGGGCTCGCGATTGACCTCCTGTAGGACTGTAGTGGGTACTTTGATTGGACACTAGGAACTAGTGTGACGTGTCTAGTCTTTTTTTTGGTGCAGACTGAATTCTATCAGTCAGGTTTGCAATGCGGCCACCATTCTAGGTAGCTCGCCATCATGGTTCTCATTGATTTGATGATATTAGGTAGTTGGAATAGTAACGTCTCTGACCGCAGCACTGGGTGACGCGGGTTCGAATCTCAGGTTGCAGATACGTCTTGCTGATGAGTATCAACTAGCACGAAACCTAGGTCCAAGGCTTCCTGCCGATTGCCTCCAACTATCTAATATCGTCAAATCAATGTGCACCGTGATGACGAGCTACATAGAATGGTGGCCACATTGCAAACCTGACTGATAGAATTCAGTCTACACCAAAGAAAAAGGACTAGACACGTCACACTAGTTACTAGTGTCTAATCAAAATGATTATTTTATTGAGAGAAATGTGAATTTGTCAGGTCGAATCCAGTAAAATGAAAAAATAGGCAAAGTTAACAATTATCATCGAAAATGAAATGAAATATTAGAATATGATAGCATAAGTTGAGGTTAAAATAAAGCAACTGTAGTTGCACACCTTTTGGAAAATTTCCTCTAATGTAACAAGTAACTTCGAAAGGTGAATTAGTGACTGTGTGGTCGTGGTCCACAACACGTAAAATAGAAGAATTAACGACTCTACACATTCCGGTTGACCAAGCTGCGAAGTACTCTCGAGCGAAATCGCATACATATTTTTTGACTAACGTCCTAAAAGTGTAGGTAAACAAGACATAAGTGGTGCATGTGATGTTGAATAGACTTAATAACACCCACATCAGTAAACAACTTGAATATGTTGATTTTAGAATTGCAGCAAAAATGTGTTTTTTTTTATTGATTTCATCAGACAGTATTGTAGTAATGAATTGACAGTATTATCTTAATAAAATGCTGATACTATGAAACCAAGCTTCCGAATGCTGAACAGGAGAAAATTCCTCATTGACACCAAAAATAATATGAAGTTCACAAAACTATGTCCTCCGTATTTGATGTTCTTTCATTCTATTCCACCTTATAGTATCATATTCTAAAATAACCATAGTTAATTCCTGTTGCTTTCCAGCTTATTGCAATTTCGACAGAATTTAGCCCTATCAATTATTTACGTATATGTGCACTGTATTTCGTGTCCACTATTAGGTATTTCCACTTTTAATCAACTTGTGATTCGTATTCATCATACCGATTATTATTGTACTTCAGTATTTTCCTTTCCTATTGAAATCACAACATGCAACCTACTTAAAAAGTATATTTGTAGAATCTCAGCGAAATTGAAATAAATAATACCAACATTTCGTTCGGCAAACTGGTCCGAACTTCATCACAGAATTTAATCAAAATTAAAATAACGAAGTGTATATATATATATATATATATATATATATATATATATATATATTATACAAGGACATGTCTTTAAAATCCTTGTCCAATCATATGAGGCATGAATATTCATCAAAACAAAATTGCATGAACTGTGATCAAAATTTGACCAAGGAATTATAATTATTCGTTTAATTTCGTGATATACTGTAAACGGTATGTACTTTTGCAACACACTTTAGTGATCACGTTCTACTAAAATTTCTGGTCATAGGTAACTGAATATGAAAAATGTATGTATGCGATATGCAATAGTATGTATGAATGGGGGAACAATTATCTACCATTTGTGAGCTTTTTCATAGGAAAATATAAATATACCCATTAAGACATTGAAATAAGAACAAATTAGTTCAGCGAAGAGTCTCTTTTCGGCGAATTCATTCACTTAGCTGTACAGTCGCAAATATATATACAATTATTTTGTGTGTGTGTGTACATTAGGTTTGTCAAAATCAAAATAACAGTTAGTGTGGGTTGTTGATTATATCATCAAGATAATGAAGAAGTTAAAGTGTGTGATTAATACTCAAAGTTGTAACTAAGTGGGGTGAAGATTGGTAAGATGTGAGTAGAGTTACATCATCAAAATAATGAAGAAGTTAAAATGTGTGATTAATACTCAAAGTTGTAACTAAGTGGGGTGAAGATTGGTAAGATGTGAGTAGAGTTACATCATCAAAATAATGAAGAAGTTAAAATGTGTGATTAATACTCAAAGTTGTAACTAAGTGGGGTGAAGATTGGTAAGATGTGAGTAGGGTTACGTAATATGGACATGTTTAGAAAGATTAGATGCTAGTGAAGGAGTTTGGAGACAATTATGAAAATAAACTAGATAATAGGTGAAAAGATTGAATGGGTTAGTTACTAAAAATTGTTATACGAAAATTGCAAAAAATTTGATAACAAAATGTTGATGACAAATAAACTTGGAATTAAACCCACGGTAGTAGGAGGGGGTGGAGAAGTTTCTTCTGTGTGCATAACTCAGGCTTTTCCATCCAAATCGCTAAGGCTTCAGCAATACAAAGTATACGAAAGCTTGTCGATTTTGGAAGGCTTCTTTTGACTTTATAGATGACTTTGAACGACTTCTCCTTGCAAATCGAATGACCAGTGTTGAGTATATGCTCAATAATGGCGCTCCTTATTGCTCCGTTGTTACCTTTCCGTAGCCAGGCGGGATAGTGTTCTTGAACTCTTTTAGATAAAACACGCATCGAACGACCTATATACCTCGCTCCACAAGAGCAGGTGAATTGGTAGATACACATGGAAGTGGTCAAATGCGATAGTTTATCTTTAGAGTAGTTGAAGAACAATGGCCGGGAGGAAAATGTCAGTCGTAGTGTGGCAGCGAAGAATGTCCTTCTGAGAGCAGTAGATATCCTCTTCTTCAAGGTGTCAGCCAGAAGGTCACCTTTGAAGGGTACATTCATGTAGACCATCTTCTTCTGCACTGTAATGGGTTGTTCTTTGTACGTCTTAGGCTTAATGTGCTTGTCTATAAAACGGGGTGGGTAGCCATTCTCGAGCAGTGTCTTCCTTAAGAGGGCGATCTCTTCCTCTATTGATTCTGGACTACAGATTTTTCGGATTCTAGTCGCCAGAGATATTATCAAATTTCGCTTGCGACTTATTGGTACCCAACTGTAGAAGTTTGTCAATTGACCGTTCCATGTAGGTTTTCTGTGTACTGATCTGTTCAAGGTACCATCGGTCTTCTTACTTAGACGAACGTCCAGAAAGGAGATTGTCTCATTGGTTTCTTCTTCGATTGTAAATTTGATGGCAGGGTGGCAACTATTGAAAACTTGAAGAACAATATTTTGATCACAATTGTGATCGCAGATGACGAAAGTATCATCGACATACCTTTTGTATAAGAAGAATTTGTCGATGGTTGCTTTCAGCGGACCGTTTTCCAAACTTGCCATGAAAATATCAGCCAGCACCGGACCCAAAGGTGATCCCATCGCCACGCCATCTTTTTGTCTATAGAAGTTCCCATTGAATGTGAACTGGACATTTAGGGTACATCTGAGTAGGAGTTCTTTTAGCTTGGTGGTAGGTATTCCAATATCCAGGTTGTTTTCTTCCAAGTATTTGCATAGAAAACAAATCGTCTCAGTGATAGGGACGTTTGTAAAGAGAGACTCGACGTCGAGTGAAATCATACGTTTGTCTCCCACTTTAACATCTTTGATGCAATCGATGAATTCGAAGGTATCCCGGAGGGAATGTTTTGAAATTCGTTCTCTGACAGGTTGTAGGAGTTCTGCTAGCCATTTCGCTATTGGATGATATGGAGATCCCGACATGTCCAAAATAGGGCGCAGCGGAAGACCCTGTTTATGAGTTTTTGGCAATCCGTATAGTCAGGGTATTATTGAACCTGTGGGTCGAATGCTCTCGAAGACATTTTCAGAGATAACTTGATCAGTCTTTAGCTTTCTCAAGATCTCAGTTAGTTGTTTTTCCGTCGCTTCGGTTTTGTCTTTCTCTTTTTCGAATAGTGAGAACTTATTGTTGTCTGAGAGAATCGCCATCATTATCTTGATGATATAATCAACAACCCACACTAACTGTTATTTTGATTTTGACAAACCTAATGTACACACACACACAAAATAATTGTATATATATTTGCGACTGTACAGCTAAGTGAATGAATTCGCCGAAAAGAGACTCTTCGCTGAACTAATTTGTTCTTATTAAAATATAAATAATCGGGAAAATAGATTAAGCCTGATAAATTAGTGATACATACTCATTTTTTACTTATTAATCAGGACTTCTCATGCATCAGCTAATATCACACCGTCACGTCTGTTCACGCTTTTGGGATTCACCCATATTATATGTAGGGATTCTGCATACAGTCTTTCTTTATGCGAACCAAAACCTTTCTGTAGAACGTTGTTCCTATCAAAGTCAATCTTGTGTCCCATTTCTGTTTTTAGTGTAATGCAATCGCTGATTTCTTTTGTAGCTTCAAATCTACAGAGGTCCTCGGAACCACCTTTAGACGTTCTTTTACCCTTACATTTACCTGTCTGGAAGTTTCCCATACATAAACAGTATCATAATCCCCAAATCTATCTGGTACACACAACTGTGTTGGTTGTCTTCTATTTTATCCTTACCCTTCACTAGTGATGAGCGTAAGGTGTTTGTTGCGCGAAAGTATACACTCTTATATTATGATTGTTAGGAATTCACTTTAATTCATCTGATGTTCCTTTGAGATAAGGAATCACCACGGTACTAACCCGATTCTCAGCAGCAGGTTTTTATACAATCTTTTCTTCACTTTTTAAATCTCTTTTGAAAAAAGCTTTTAAGTATTTATCTGATTCAAGAGTGGAGTGCGTCGGTGGCATAGCGGTTAGGACGCTCGCTGACCATGCACATGTTCCGGGATTTGGTCCCCGGCCGACGCACTCCTTTACCTCGCTAAGCCAGAAATAATGCTGGTGAAGAGGAAAGGTTGGGCATGAGACTAGCAACCCAATCCTGTAAAATAAACACTGCTACAGAAACTTCAAGCCACTAGCTTGAAGCCCTATGTTCCACTGGGGAACGTAAAGGAAAAAAAGAGTAGACCGAACCAATTTTGATTCCTTGTTGGTCTCTTCTACCTCAGTAACTAGGCACGATTGGACAAAGATTCTAAAAACATGTCCTTGTATATATATATATATATACTTCTGTCATTTTAATTTTGATAAATTTCTCTGATGAAGTTCGGACCAGTTTATCGAGCGAAACGTTCAAATCATTTATTCCAATTAGGCTGAGATTTTATAAATGTAATTTTTACATACGTCCACTTCTCATTCGGTGCCCAATTATTGTGGAACTATTCGGTCAAATCTTGATCACAATTCATATAGAATACAATGTACTTGCTTTTATCTACTCTAAGCCGCATGTAAATATGAATTGTACAGCTCAACTGAAGAAGTGGCTGGCTGGATTCAACATAGAACTTGGCACTGAAGTGCAGCAGTTCGAGGTGCCACGTTCCAAAGAGCACACAAAGGTAGACAAGAAAATGAGTGAAGAGAATCAATAGACTTTTGACAAGTATAAGAGTGAAACAGAATGAGTAATGGTAGAAAGGAATATGAAAGATTACAGAGACTGAATACATCTGCGTAAGCCATTGACAACGATTTTGAGCCATGTCGCCTATTGTCTCCAGCTATTGATTCTTAGAGTCCCGAGGGCGGGCCCCAACCCGGAAGTCTGCATCTCCCTACCTGACTCAGTTTAACTGTTAGGGATTTCATGGATTGATGATGCCATGTTTTTGTTTGGCCACCACTTACTCTTTTCCAACCTGCACCTATATCAGCTAGTAATGCCCGTCCGGGGAGGTGATGGTTAGAAATGCGCAGCACGTGACCTAGCCATCTCAATCTATATAACTTTATAGCCTCTTCGAATGATTTCCCCTCTTTGCCCAACACTCTACGCCTGACGTCAGCATTACTTACCTTATTATACCACCTAACGTGAGAAAGAGATCGTAAACATCTGTGGTTAAAAACAGACAACCTTTTCATGTCTTCAACTCGAAGTGAAGTGAAACTATAAAAAAAATGAAATCATAGTAATAAGAATTTCTCTAAAATCTTTGTTTGATATCGTAATAGGCATTTTACTTGTTAAAACTTGGTGTATAACGACTTCAAAGTATATTGTCTTTTAATATCTTTTACAATGAACTAACTGGAAAAAAGAACATTAATAAGTAGTTGCATGACAATAAAGACTTTTGTAATCCAACATTAACCTTGAGAGTGTGCCATGTAGGACAGAAATACAGTTTTATATTTACTTCTCCACTTTCACTGACCATCTTTAGCTCTTAAGTATTATCATCCATTCACATCTCCCTTTAGTCCAAATACTTCACATGTCCATAATCTCGATTATACGTTTGTAAATAACTACTTACTAATTATAAAAACGACACCTATATAACAAGTTGTTGTTCTGTATTTTGGTATCAGTTCAATGAAAATTTTGGAAATAGTCATCACTTGACCGCACTACCAACTGACAAACTAGTAGAATTCATGCGTCAGGTAAACATTTATCAATACTACTCCCTGATAAACAACAAAATGTTACCATAACTAAGTGATGTATAACCGCTCTACTGGCTAATTTTAAACCTTATTCTCTTATAACTTCTATTAAGCATTTTCTAATAATTTTGCTTGCCATATTTCACTGTTATACCGCAGACATATTAAACTAGGACTGTTTAACATGAATCATATAAGTCAACTGAACAGTTTGTGTAGGAAGCATTTTCTACTTCAAACTAAGTGTGCACTTTCTGTATGATAAGCGAAAACACCTTTCGTGAATTTCGTCAAGTGGAAAATGATAATTAAACATGATATCGATTTTTCATCATATTGTATACTTTGACTTAATATTATTTGTCTAGACATAACTTAAATTCCTTATTCAAGTAGGTTCTGTTCGATATTTCCTCGCTATTGCACAACTCCATCTTCATTATTATTTTGACTAGTCTCAGTGAATAGTATTTATTTTTCTGTTACTATGTATTGTAAACAAATGCAGACTAAATACTTCGATGGGATAAAAGTGTTTATAACAGCATTTGTACATCTGTAGAAAAAGAATATCTTTGCTGAATCATGTATTACTTTTCCAAAGTACTGTGATCGAGATTTTCCTTGAATTGGAATACATTCACCATCTTCGCTGCTTTTTATAGTGACTAGTAAATAAATACGCATCACCGAAGAAAAATGTGACAGGCAAATTGACCCGTGCATGAATTACATTCACTCAATCCGTAGAAGAAATTTTCCGTAAAGCGATATTAACAATTATTCTCTTACAAATAATGTACAAATGTCCTAATATACCGACGGATTATAGATTACCAATAGGAATATTACACAAGTACCGCAATTTCCGTTTATCATGATTAAAGTGTATTATTTGTGTAGGATATTTATTTTCCGTTGTAGTGTAACGATGTGACTACAATATTTTCTTTTTTAATCATTCTAACCAAACCATCGTAGGTCTCAGTTTTTAAAGACAGGATTTTGGCGGGCAGTTGGTCTAAGATTGGATCTTGAATCTATGACGTCTGTAAAGAAGCTGTAACTTCTTCTCTGCCGTCGAGTAGGCAGTGAAATCTAAGATGAGCGCTCTCTGTATGCAACAAGAAATAATAGAATATGACGAATTTCGCTTTTTTTGTAACATACTTAGTACCAAAAAAGAAAGAAAAATCCGAAGTCAACTGGTGTGTTTCCAAATGAACAGAAGTTGATGCTTGTCTACGCAATTTGTCTTAATGAATTAACAGTCAACACAGTTTTGACGTTGAAAGCAAAACAGCATTCAAATTACGAATTACTTCTTTTTTTTAACGAATCGAAGAGAACATTTGATGATAATTTGTGCAAGTGTATCTGTAAACTGACAAGTCTGTACACAAAATAAATTGGATATAATGAAATTAACATTGCTCAGAAAGAAATGAAATATGAATAATAATAATTATTATTATTATTCAGTATAGTCCTTCACTTCTCTGTAGCATATTCGAAAATATTGTAACTCTCGATAGTAGACAGTCAACAGACCTTTGATTCCAAGATATGTTAATCCACCCTTTATGCAAAAATACATGAAAAGAAAGATAAAATGCAGTGAAGTTAAAATTTACCTTCTACAAGATTAATTAGTTTTAATCAATTAATCTAATCCATTGTTTTACTCATATATATATATATATATATATATAATGTGAGTAGAGCCATAGACAATCAGGCAGTTTATACCTTGCTACTTGGTTGCAACATGCAGTCAACTCCTTGTGGATTGATGGAAGTTTTTGACTTGACCACCCCTAACTCTTTACCAACCTAATGTGCCTTGTAAGTGGATTAATTGGGTGAAAACTTTCAAAATGCATAATGTGGATAAAGAAGAAGTAAAAACAAAACGCCAATCAAATATGGTATGTAGATTCACCTGTGATGACAACAAATAACAATACATTGACCACTTTTCCCGTATTTATTCAACTAGTGCAACCGTGGCTCGTTGGCTAAAGCACTTGACTTTCAGCCAAAATGTCTGGGGTGTTGATCCCGCACTACCTACTTCATCCTGGGTAACTGGGTAGTCTCATCAACCGTCACACAACAAGTGTGGCTCTTGATCGTGTTTATAGGTCTGTCCTAGGTATCAGTAAAAAGTTTGAGCATTGTGGATTAGATCAAATAAAGTATAATTATATTTCAATAGTTTACACACAATGATAAAAAAATTGCAACAGTGGTGTGAACACGGGCAGTAATTTTGCTCGAAATATTACCAATAACAAAACTTATCATTGTGTGTAAACTATTGAAATATAATTATACTTTATCTGTCCTAGGTACTTGGGTTCAAAGAAAACCCGGTTAAGCATCAAACGTTTTAACTTGCATAGGCATAAAACATACATATTTTAGGTGCAGAAAGTAGAAGGAATTTGTGTCAGTTGATAAAGATCATATTAGATAACACTCAACATCAGCGGTTTACATTTCATATCATGAAGGGACACAAGTAGACTAAAACGTTTTCTGAAATTTGACAATGTTCTGCATGAAGCTAGAAGATTTGCACTCCAACTCAGTGGAATGTAATACTAAACGAATCTATGTGAAATAGGAATATTACGCCAGAACATTGAAGACTATCATGTATGAATTTAATTTGAGCAGATACAAGCAATAATTGTGAATAAAGTGACAGGTTTAGCCTCAAAAATGTTACCTGGGTGAATACGCATCCATGTTGCAGTTATGCGAGTTAAAAGAAAAGTATTTGCGACTGAAAATAGTTTCTATGTTTGTTTGGTTATCTGAACTCAATTACGTGGAACATACTGTTCATGTCGCAGGTTGAGCCACACTTATGATGATGATACTACCCAGTTGCCCAAATTGAAGTAGGTAGGGAGGGACCCGTTATCCACTGGCTGAAAGCCGTTCTACCATATCTCCACAAATAATTTCTATGCAAAACAGACAAGTCAAAAAAAACCAATTCTGAAAAATACCAAGTATTCTTACCAGGAAAACTCTACGAGTAGCTGACTGCACTCTCTGGAAAAATAGATGCCCAAGAATAGTAGATATTGTTGGCAGAGCCAAAGCACTACAGATAAGACGTGGTATATCAGATATTTCTGAGCGTAATTCTATTTCAGCCTCATTAACTTGCCAAGTAGGAAGATCTTGATAGTAAAGAAGATAGGCAACAAATTATAAAGGGTTTTAGTATTAAAAGTATAATAAGGTACTTTACAGTGAATAAAATGAATGCATCTTACTTTCTAACATATAAATCTGGAAGTAATTCTCCAGCAACTTGGTACCAGTAAAAGTAGTTTTATGTAGTCACTCAAATATGTGAGTCACGTCATAAGACTGACTCCAGTGAAGTGAACATGTTAGGTGAGTGGGTATATCGTACCAATAAAGGCACTACTCGAACTCACACAGCCGTGTAAGAGCATACAGAGAATTGTCATCTGGAATGATAACAACCAGATGTATCCGTCAGGAATTTCCAGTGTCTCCAATGCTGTTTAATTTCACCATAGGTGTATGGTGATTATTGTAGCTTTCCTCGACAATGTTGGCCAACATTGGATTACGTTGGTAAAGGTTCACTATTGATCAAACCGAAACCCAGCATCAATTCACAAAGTCTTCAACGGTTAGTTTGAACAGTGTAGGGAGTTGTAGATTGCCCAGTTAGGGTCCCTGAGATACTAAGAATCAATGGTTGGAGACTATTGCTGACATGGCACAAAATCGTTCTCAATGGCGCAGATGCATTCACTTTCTGTGAATCCCAATATCCACTAAACTGCCATGATTTTTCCATGTTCCTATACTTTCCTGGCCATTATTATAATTATTTTTTGAACAAATTTTCTCTTTTATCTGCCTTTGTGCGCCACATGGAGTATGACAACTTGAACTGACACACTTTTGTGCGAAGATCTATGTCGAAATCCAGTCAGTCAGAACACATTTGGTGTGCTACCTTAAAAGTTTCTACAATATGCACGGTTTGTACACAGTTTGGACCAAATTTTCACTTTTAGAGATTACATACTAGGATGATAACAATTAGAAGAGTTTCCTTCCATTCCATCTGCTCTCTCGGACTTTTAATACTTATATCATATCTCCTAATTTCTCGCTAGCTTCAGATAAGGTGCGGACATTCCGTGCCCAAATGTTTATTTTCATAGACACAAGACACATGAAGGTATTTATCATTTTCACTCATATTGAATCGCTTCGTTACTTTGTGTGATGCGTTAAATCGGTCAATTATGTCCTCCGTAAAATCCATCTCAACTAGTTGCTTGTCGGTATTGACTGTTTGTCTTGTGACCACTGCTGAAATTTTAAACCTTTTCAAATGGTTTACATCAATTTTAGTAACCCATATGAATTAGTGCCATGTCACTCAAAAGCATTTGTTTGTTTTTAATGAAAAAGTAGTCATCTGAATTGCACGCGACATAAAACAAAGGCTAATGATCATTGCAAGATGTTTTCAATAGTGGCCCAAAACCTCAGCAAAGTTGATTCTCGCATGACCGTAGGAATAAAACTGTATATTTGTGTTGTTACAGTCGATATTATTCGTACATAAAAAGGTGTTTATAAACTCTTCCAATAGGAGAATTGGAACTTAACAAAGTGCGACAAACCAGCGTGTATTCATATGTTTAAGCCAGAACAAAATTCAGAGTAACTAAGACTCAATTACCACCAGCGGTTACACTAACTCCAACAGTATTTCAAACGCCAATTTTCCATGCAGTTTCCTTTGTTTTAAAGTGAATAGCTGCGTTACAGATCTCGAATTTATCAACCGAATATTTCATACAACTACTAAGAACTCCAAAGAGATACAAGGGGCCATGAAGTTTAATCAGCCTATACATATGTTAAGTGTGAAAGATAGAGCAAATGAAACAACTGATGTAAATCATTGACCAAAACTCCTTTGAAATTTTTGTTGGTCACGATTTCATTTACAATTTTCACCACAACGCTTGTTCTCTCACCATAAGCAGTTTATATTTAATGAATTATTATTTGACGCCCAGTTCCATAAAAGATCAATTAATACTAAAAGTAGTAAAATCCTCAAAAGCTATTTGGCATAATTTACAACAGAATAAAAACAAAAGCAGAGTATTTCACAATAGCAGCAATGAAATCAAAGTAGGAACCGTAAATCTACTACTTACCTTTGCGTCTAAATAGCTGAATAAAAGGTAAACGGCTTATGTGATTCCTCCATAAAATAAGGAGTCTAGTTTCCCACTGGATCGCTTTAGCCAAAATCAGACACACAGGTATAGTTGGTAATCCAAGTAATAATAGAGGCGGATCTGTAAGTCTCATGGCTTGTAAACCCTGTCGATGTCCATACACCTGCATCACTGTCACAGCTCCATAAGTAACAGCAGACCAGTAAAATGATCCGAAAATAATTCCACCAGTAAGGATGAAAGATACAGAACGAGTAAGTTGGTCAACAGATTGTAAAATACTATACAAAATCCCTAGAAGGGAGAGAAAAAATAAATTAAGTATTTAATTTGATGATATGTACAATTAGTTAAAGAATTGATAAAAACGGTACCCTCCTCCAATGAAATCCTGTATGCATACTCTAGCATTCACCCAACTTTATTGTGATTCATGACTGGACACACATTTTCAAAGTCACAGCTTTCTCTTTAAATAAATTGATTCTGCTTGTTATCAAACAGGATGTTTATTATTCCTGATTTTTCCCGTCTAAACATAAATTTAGCAGTCAGCCAGTAAGTGCTAATGAATCATTCCCGAATAAGTTGAAAAATATGGTGAGGATTGGTATTTAATGTTGTTCGGAAAAAAATGAAATACGGCCTGAGACAACATAAAAACAAAAGATAGTGGTGACTGATGTATGTCTAGAGGGAAAAGTAGTAAGACTGATCAGCTGAGATTGTTATTTACCGTTAAGCAGTAGATTAAGCTTTGTGTTGAAGTAAGCCGTACTGAAAAGTATAGGAAATAGAGACGATTCCAAAAAACAGTTTGCTTACTGAGGAAATTTCATTTATGTCATACCTTTCCTAATGTCTACGTATGTTGAACTGCTCAATCGTTGGAACTGAGACGTACTACTTTGTACACTCGGATTTCAGTAAGTAATCCCATACCCTAATGACGTTTAGGTAAAGTAAATTTATCAATCGTCACACAACACGCAGGCTTTGTAACTTAATACGAAAACTTTTCCAAGATTCTTAAGTCTAACACTGAAACTGAGTTTCCCGGGGTATCAGCTACTGACCGAAAATGGTTGCATGAATAATCCACAGGTTATAAAACACAGCTTTAGTACACAAAATTCATTACAAAGAACTTCTAAAAACCTACCACAATTGGGATAAATTATCACATATGGTGTGTTACATATCTGACAAGAAATAGCGTCTGTTTCTCTGTTGTGCTGTTGTTCGCTAATCCATCTCTGAAGACATGTCTGATGAACCCATTTAAGTGCCCCACGACAACGACAAGGTCTACTCCACAAGTTGATGGAATCGCAATCTACTTCAGAACTTAAACAAATCCAGCAGGTTCTGTCTTCTTTTGGCGCATACGACATTACGTCTGTATTCTGCTCCATAACCCAGAATACGTATATCGCATAGACTAACTGTTCTACCTGATGAACTGGGGTATTGATACGTCAGATTTAGTATCACAAAGCAACATGAAATTATGCTCCGACTGCTGAAATAGAAACACAAATAAAATTACTAGAAGTTTACACAATTAGGTAGTTTAAAACTAGTCGTTTAATTATAAAGATTATACAACATGCTATTATAAATTCCTATATCAAAAACAACTGTGTGGACAATATATATATATATATATATATATATATATATATATATCTGAGACACTTGTCTACGAGAACAAAGAAGGCTTAATACAGCTCTCTGATGTTCATACCTACTTAGTGCCTACCAAGCAGTCTCACAATTGTTTAGAATTCAAGAACTCATCGAATAAGCGGATTATAGCTTATTGTAGAAGGGACGTGGTGCAAGTTATTCATTTTATAAATCATACTGTTGTTGCTTTAAATTACTGTCCAAATTCAAAAAAGATTAACACTAAAACATAAAATGCAATGCTGAAATGGAATATTTCGAAGTGCAAATATGTGAATGACAAGAAAATTATTCTAAATTAATTCTTCTTTGAATAATTAGAACCGAAATAAACTACGATGATTTATATTGCATAACAAATAAATTAGGTGGTATCCACTGAATGGTGAGTACTTCACATTATCCTGGAAATAATATTTGCGTCGAAATTAAAGTATCATAGCCAAAGACAGTCTTTCAAAAGTTGACCTTCAAGAACCAATCAGATATAGGGAATGTTACGAATGATCATACCAAATCAAATCATACCTGCCTTTATGGACTTAAAAAATGGAGCTACAGTATACCACTTATTTACTGGATACTTTTTCTGTGAATCTTTACTGTTAGGTGAGGTTATGGCTTTTGTAATTAGGGTCTAAGGTTCAGATTAGGATTAGGGTTAAAGTCAGGATTGGGAGTTAGGATTATGGTGAGATTTAGGCGTGTGTTATATCACATTAATGTAATGACAATTGTCAGAAATATCAATAGATCACTAAATACCAGGACCCAAAGTCACCTGCATGATTGCATCCGCCACGCATGATATGATTTCCTTAATCAATATCAGTGTAGCGACTGGTAGACATCCTTACAACACATTAGCGAAAACTTTATGGTGTCATATGACACCATGATATATATCATGTTAGCAATGTTTTTTAGTGCATTCATAAACGATTACGAAATCTTTTGCATTTGATTTCTGATTGGTTTTTTAAAGCCACTGTGTTTTTGACTATGATAGCTTAAACTTTGCCGACATTTTAATAATCCAGAGGATAGGGATGTCTGACCGACCTTGCATAGTAGCGCAAAGAGTTATTTTTTCCGGCATCCTTATCCAATATCCAATATCCTGATTACGAGCTAGTATAAACCAGTGATTTCTTTGAGCTCGCTTCTTGATTTTAAGGTAGAGGTTCCAGATCTTCGGTGAACTTATGCGTAGTAAATCCCGCCACTCGACTGCTTTAGCTCTGGTAGACTCCAGGAGGAGTGATGCGAGGATTGGTCAAGATTGTGGTTTGTAGTGTGCCGTATGTTAGGACTCAGCTGTTGCCGTGAATGGAGTTTGACCTAACACCCGTTGGTCATTCGGTATAGTCATAAAAGTAGAGTAATAATGATAATGATAATAATAGGTTGTAGTGTAGATAATATAGGTTGAGATAAGTGAAATAATAAAGAAAGAAAGAAAAGAAAAGATAGAGTAGTCGGTACAGTGGGAGAAGACAGGACGGGTCGTGGGGATTTAGCTTGTATGCTTATCCATTGACAATGCTGTTTCAAATTTTAAGAGGGTAAGCCATTGAGACACAAACCATGCATTTCTGCATGATTGTCCAGCTTCCGCTTAAAAATCTCCACAGATGGAGCTGTAGTTACGGCCGCCGGTAAAGCGTTCCAGAGACGGCAAACTCGAAGCGAGAAGAAATGTGAACGCACTCGAGTCCTTGGTCTCTGGTGTGCTATCCTTAGCGGGTTACCTCGTGGAAGCCTATAATCACTTAATGGCAGGATGCTCTTATCAGGATGGGCCTGGTCATTTAGGATCTTATAGACGGTGATGAGGTCTCCCCTGTGACTACGGTAACTAAGTGTGAAAAGACTTAATTTCTTCAGTCTCTCCTCATATGATTTGTTGCGGAGGCCGATCACCCATTTTGTCGCTCGTCTCTGGACACTTTCTAGCATGTTAGCATCCCTTTTGAGTAGCGGAGGAGCAATGATATTATGCACCTCAAGGAGTGGCCTCACGTATGTCGTATACAACGTTAGGAATAGTTCAGGAGTAAGAGCTCCCAGTTGCCTATGCATAAAGTGTAAAGTGCCGTAAGCTTTGGCGACGTCCCTCGTGTAATTTACACTGGTGTCTAGCTTTTCTGTTAAAATAAGGCCTAGATCGCGTTCTGATGGCACACAACTCAAGTTCTGGCCACCAAGGGTGTAATTTGCACTCTGTGACCTGCCGGAATGAAGTTGCACTACTTTGCACTTCTTTAAGTTGAAAGGCATTCCGTTAGCCAGAGCCCAGTCCCCCAGCGTTTGCAGGTCAGCCTGCAATCTGTCGGAGTCTTCCGATGAGTTTATTGCTCTCCAAATCTTCACGTCGTCAGCGTAAAGAAGCGCAGAGCAATTCAGTTGACAGGGCAGGTCATTGATAAAAATCAAAAACATCAACGGCCCTAAGATAGAACCCTGAGGAACCCCTGATGCCGAGGTGTGCCAGGATGATCGGATGCGGTTGACTTTGGTGCAGAATTCTCTCTCGCCTAAATAATCTTCCAGCCATGCGAGAAGTGCTCCAGAAACACCCGCTTTGCTTATTTTGTGAAGGAGCAGACCATGGTGAACTGTGTCGAATGCTTTCGCAAAGTCGAGAAAGATCACATGGACTGGTACCTTTACATCCCAGGATAGTGTCCAATCGTTCCAAGCTAGTAGAAGATTCGTCACACAGGATCTTCCCTTCCTGAAACCATGCTGTGCTTCATGGAGTAGGTTAGTCCCGTCGAAGTATTTTCTCATGTGGTCGTCAATGAGACTTTCCAATATCTTCGATATCACTGGGAGTAGCGCAACTGGTCTGTAACTGGTCGCGTTCTGCCGGTCACCACCCTTGAAGATAGGGGATAGGATGGCTCGTTTCCATTCACATGGAAGTTTCCCTACATCAAAGGAGTGTTGAAACAGATCACTTAGGGGTTGGCAGAGACTTTCTGAACACTGCTTCAGGACGGATGGTCTTATGCCGTCGCAACCTGCAGACTTTCCCGAAGCCAACTTTCCCAATTTTATGAGTACCATAGCCGGGGTAATTTGAAATGTACCCAGCAGGTTTTCGCACGTTGGTCTTGCATTGTAATCTTGATGTTTTGTGAGGGTAAAATCCTCATTACTGTTCAGTTGCCTGTGAAAGGCTAGACTGAATGTCTCTGCCATTTCAAGACTAGTAAGAGATTTCCCATCAGAACCCACTAGATTGCAAGCTCCCTGGTTGGTCGGTTTTCTTTCAGACAAACTTATAGCTTTGGGTCACAACTATTGCGAGGTTCTCTGAAATGTCCTTCTTCACTCCGGACTCGTATGTTACACCGATTCCTGAGTTCGAGGTACTCTTCATGTTCGGGTTGACTCTGCGATACTCGCCACGCAAACCAGGCTTTTCGCTTCGCCTGTAGAAGGCGTTGTGTCCCCCTTTTTAGCCATGAACGTTGCTTTCTAGCTTTAGGTGTGACCAAAGGAACAGTGTCTGAGATCGCCTGGTGAATGATCTCCTTTACCACTCTCCAGTGTTCTTCTACTGTAAGCTCTGTCCAATTTTTTGGCCAGTTTGCTTCAGACAAAAGTCGTCGCATTTCGGTGTAATTGGCTTTGTTATAACACAGATAGGGCTGTGTATTGTCCCACTGTAAACGCTCGCGGAGGACTATGTCGAATGTTATGACCGCATGGTCACTACTACCTATGGGAGTCGTGATCTGAACGTTTTCCACTAGTAGCTGGTCACTAGTGAGCACGTAATCCAGTCTAGACTTCCCACAAAATTATAGACATCTTCTTTAAAATAATTTTAAAATTTCAGAGTTATCGGCCGACTTCAATGCAGATAATCGATATGAAGATGTGAAGTTCACGATTTTCGAGTAAACGCACTGACTGAACTACTAGATTTATAAATTTCATTTCTCCAGATCATCCGGCAACTTCCTCTGCCTTACTGGCTCACCAGATCACCAGTTGGTCTTAGGCTTGGCAAATATAGAGCGTTGAGCGTGGGGCTACCCACCAGATCTAATTGCTAAAGAAAACTCAAAGTACAACGAAAATATATAAAAACAAAATAATTTTTCAATGGAATCGGAGAGATGGAACCATGAGGAGTAGTAGTGAAATGCTTCACGAGGCCAGTCTTTGGATGAAAGCAAAATCAAGCTAAGCGCATGGAATATCAGCACAGTTTCCGATGACATAAAGCTGTTCTGATTGCAAAAGAAATGAGAAGAGAGTATATAAGTGAAATTAATCCGAATTGATGACTCCATTATCAATAACTGGACGACATTTCAAGCGGAAATTATTTCTCATGATGGTATCGCTTTAGTCACATGGCTTTACAACTTGCCGTATGTATATGTATATATAAATCTCTCACTTTGCCTCTTGTGTTTTACCACTTCCCATATCCCCGACATTAGCGTTGCGTCATTTCTATTGCACATGAGTGGTGTTGAATTGATCAAAAAAGACTCATTGATCAACTTCTCTCTCCACCTTACTATATCACATTTTATAGCTCTGACCCCGTCCCGCCTTTTTTGTGATAACATGCAAGCGAATGCGATGCAGTAGCTGAGACATCTTTGGGTTATTTAAATAGACAAGGTCAATCACACTAGGTCTAGTTCAAATTTTTGTCCCAGTAATCTAGTAACCTTGATCTAACAATCTCACCTATGTAACTGACCTCACAGTCATAACGTGGTATTTTGTAAATTATATAATTTTTCTTAATTGGATCTATTTGGGCCTTAAACCGACAAAGTTTATCTCTGAGAGAGTTCGTTGGATTAACTAACACCCTAATTCCAGTATCATTGAGAATCCCACGTAGGACTCTGACATTCCTTCCTTATATGAAAGTACTACAGAAGCCTTAAATCCTATATTAATTTTGTGATTTTCGTCATCGACACTAATTATCTTTTCCATGGTTCTTCAAATATTTTTGAATAACTTACGGTTGGTAGTTATTGATGATTATTATTTTCTTCATATTCATATATATTGTTTGAGGATAGAAAGCTTCAGGCCTATGTTAATCCTTTTCTGGTAAACCTCTGTGGTTGTCCAAACCCTTCTTGAGTGAATCAGTTGAGGTTGCAGACACCACTTCTTCTGAGAGTCGGTTCCAAGAGTTTATGACTCGGTGTGAGAACCAGTACTCCACATCACTGTGGTTTCTTCTTGGCTTTTTTCACTCTCCTGCTATGTCATCTAAGGTGTTCCGACCTGGTGAGAAGGAAAATAGAGAAAAGGTTAGGTCCATAGTCATCATTTCAAATTTTAAACATTGTGCGTTGGTGGCACAGTGGTTAGGACTCTCGCCGACCATGCACATGGTTTGGGGTTCGATCCGCGGCGACGCACACCTGATATCTATGGTTGGCCTGCAAAATGGGCTACCGATATCACATGCTGAAAATTCCACACTTGTACCAAAAATACGGTGTGGAATCAAGCTATAATAAATAAATAAAAATAAAAATCTCCTCTCTGCCTACGGTATGACAGGGAGAAGAAATTTCAACTGTTTAGTCTTTCCTCGTGTGATAAGTTAGTCATGCCAAGAACCATACATGTTGCCTTCCTTTGAACCCTTTCTAGAACGTATGAGTCCTCTTTAAGACAAGGATTGGCTGCCTGAATACAGTTTTTCTTTGTTGACCTCACCAGAAATGTATATAAGGAGGTGAACATATCTCTGATGATTCTAGTAAAGGCTGCGTGAATTGCCTATAAGGATCTGAAACTACGTGCAGCCACCACGTGACAGTGGCTGTAGTTTTTTAATCGTGGCTAACTACGACTTCCAAATCCAAATGAGTCTGAATTGATGGGAGTGTTATTCCCTCTAGTTCGTAGGAGCTGATTTTTGCCTGTCCTATGCGCATGGTTGCGCATTTTCCTACATTGATGAAGAGCATCCATTCTCTGAGCCACTCGGACAATTTCTTTAGGTCCTCTGGCAACGTGAACTAATCACTGTTGCCCTTCAGCACTCTCCGATTTTTTAAGTCATCTGCTTATAGGGAAATCAGTTATCAGA